CACCTTCCCTCCGAGGTTCCTCAGTAGAACAGAGGATTTTCAGAGCAATGAAAATACTCTGTATGAAACCATAAGAATGAATAGATACTATATGTTTGTCCAAACCCATGAAATGTACAATACCAAGAGCAAATCACAATGTAAACTATGGACTTTGGGTGATCATAATATGTGAAAGAGATTCAACCTTGGTTTAAAAAAAAAAGGTAACAAACTGTGAGAGATACTGATAATGGGGGAAACTATGCGTGTGTATAGAGGAGGAGCTACATGGGAAATGTATACACCTCCCTCCCAATTTTATTGTAAACCTAAAACTGCTCTAAAAAAATAGTCCTAAAAAAAGTTGCCTGGCCGGGTGTGGCTCAGCGGTTGAGCGTCGACCTAGGATCCAGGCGATTGGGGTTCGATTCCCAATCAGGGCACATGCCTGGGTTGCGGGCTTGATCCCCAGTCAGAGGCCTGCAGGAGGCAGCCGATCAATGACTCTCACATCATTGATATCTCTCTCTCTCTCTCTCCCTCTCCTTTCCTCTCTCTGAAATCAATAAAGATATATATTTTTAAAAAAGTTAATGGAGTACTGTCATTTAAAATGGCAGAGTAAGGTGCTCAAAGAATCACTCCATTGAAACAATCATTAAGCTAGCAAAAACTGTCAGAATCAACTCTTTTGCAAGTCTGAAATTTAATCAAAAGCTTAAAGTAACCAGGAAAACGCTAAATCAAGAAAAAGATGATTTTCAGAAAGAAAGCACTGTGACATTTTTGTTTAAATGCCTATGAACCTATTCCCCACCAGAGCAGTGACTGGGGGCAATGGACAGTATTCTGGGCCTGGCCTGCTGAAGCCAAAAGACCAATACAGGCTACTATGGTCCAAATGTTTGTGTCCCTCCAAATTCATTTGTGAAGTCCTAATGCCCAATGTGATCATACTGGGGACTTTGGAAGGTAATATGATCATGAGGGCAGAGTTCCTCATGACTGGAATTAATGGTCTTATAAAACAGACTCTAGAGAGATCCTTGGCCCCTTCCACCATGTGGGAACACAGCAAGAAGTCAGTGGTCTAAAATCTGGAAGAGGGCTCTCACTAGAAATCGAAAAGGCTGGCACCCTGATCTTGCTTCCAAGCTTTAAGAACTGTGAGAAATAAATTTCTGTTGTTTATAATACTAGTCTGTGATCTCCATGCAAGCAGGAGGCGAAGGCTAAAGCAAAGATATAGGTAGCCTGACAAAGCACTGAAGAAGTGCCAGAGCTCACAGCCAAGTGCAAAGACAGAAAGTATTTCTTTGCTTTGTTTTGGATCCAGAAATTTAAGGAAGTATCTGTCAGTTCACCGGCTAACCACTGAAAGAATGAAATAGAGTCATCAGTGACCTCACAGGACCAAAAATACTCTTTTCAAAAATAGTTTGGAAAATTTACTGTATTAGTTTGCTAAGTCTGTAACAACAAATTATCACAAACTGGATGGCTTAAAACAAGAATTTATTCTTTTATCGATCTGGAGGCCAGAATTCTGAAATCAAGCTGTCAGCAAATTATTTCCTTCTGGAGGCTCTGAGGAACATCATGTTCCAAGTTTTTCTCCAAGATTCTGATGGCTGCTGACAACCCTCCATATGACTTGGCTTGTATATGCATTATGCAAACTCTACCTGTCATTTCATGGCATTATTTTCTATGTCTGTCTTCAAATTGCCTTCTCCAGTTTCCCTAATTCCTTCTGCGTTTGTGTTCAAATTTCCTTCTTCTTCTAAGGACACAAGTCATTGAATTAGGGCCTACTCTAACCTAGTATGAACTCACATTAACCTTTTTATATTTGGAAACACCATATCTCAAAATAAGGTTACATTCAAACATAGTAGGGGGTTAAAATTTCACATTTCATTTGGAAGAAAACAATTCTTCCCACCATAGTCAGTAATCATATGAAAGACTACAGCCTTCAACAGCGAACAGCAACAAATCATTTATCTGATCAGAATCTGATATCTAGAATATATATTCTTACAACTCAATGACAAAAGAATAACCAATTAACAAATTTAACGAAAGAGGTGTAAAACCTGTACTCTGAAAGCTATAAAACATTGCTGAAATTAATGAAGATCCTAAACAAAGGGAAAGACATCCAATATCTATGGATTGGAAGACTTAATATTGTTTAGATGTCATACCCCTCAAAGCGATCTACAGATCCAATCAAATCCAAGCTAGGCTGGGGATTTTTTTGCACAAATGGACAAGGTAATACTAAAATTTACACAGAAATTCAAGAGACTCAGAATAAGTAAAATAATATTGAAATAGAAAAACTAAGCTGGTGAGATCATACTTTCTGATTTCAATTTTACTACAAAGGTATAGTAATCAAGACAGTGTATACTGGCAAAGAGGTTAGTGATATAAATCAAGGGGAACAGAATTAAGAGTCCAGAAATAAATCCTTTTGACAAGGAGGTAAACTCATTTTGAGAAGGGTGACAAGGTCATTCAACAGGGAAAGAATGAGCAATTTTCTCAACAAATGGTGTGCTGGGACAGCTAAATAATCTCATGCAAAAGAATGAAGTTGGACCCCTATCTCACACCATATGCAAATATTAACTAAAATGGATCATAAACCTAAATATAAGAGGTAAAAGTAAAAATTCTTACAAGAATATACAGGAATACATCTTTATATCTTTGAGTTAGGAAAAGACTTGAGTGTTTAATGCAACAAAATAAATAAATAAAATGGACTTCATCAAAATTGAAAACATTTGTACTTCAAAGGCTACCATTAAAAATGAAAAAAAAAACAATGAATGGGAAAAATTAATTGGAAATATTTTATCTGATACAAGGCTTATATAAATAATATATAAAGAACTCTTACAACTCAATAATAAAGACAATCCAATTTAAAAATGGGCAAAAGAATTTAATGGACATGTCTCTAAAAAAATATAGCCACTAAGCAAATGAAAAGAGGCTCAATCAACCTCATTAGCAATCAGGGAAATGTAAATCAAAACCAATGAGATACCAGTTTATACCCATTAAGATGGCTATAATCAAAAGGACAGATTAGTGTTGCCGATGATACAGATAAATTGGAAACCTAATACACTACTGGTAGAAGTGGACAATGGAAAAGTCTGGCAATTTCTCAAAAGGTTAAGCAGTTACCATATGAAACAATTCCACTCCTAGATATACATACAAGATAATTTAAAACTTATTGCCCACACAAAATACTGTCTAAGAATATTCATAGCAGCATTATGCATAATAGCCAATAAGTGAAAACAACCCATTATCAATCATCTGCTAAATGGATAAACAAAATGTGGTGTATCCATATATTGGAATATAAGGCAATAAAAATGAATGAAGCACTAATTGATGCTATACCATGAATGAACTTGAAAATATCATGCTAAATGAAAGAAGCCAGATAGAAAAGGCCATATATTGTATGATTCTGTACATATTAAATGCCCAAAACAAATTCTTAGAAATAAAGTAAATTAGTTGTTGCCAAACACAAGGGAGGGGGACAATGAGGAGTGACAGCTAATGGGTATTAGGGTTTCTTTCTTAGGCTGTAAAAATGTTCTGGAATTAGCTAGGGGTAATTGAGGCAGAACCTGGTAACATACCAATGTAACTTGATATACTATAAAGTGTCACAAACAAATGAACCGTATACTTTAAATGGATGAATTGTATATGTGAATTATATCTCAGTAAAGCTATTTTTAAAAACAAAGGTAAGATACATTTCCAGATAAACACTAAATTGTTAATGCTATTCCTTTTTTGTATAGTATGACTACTGAGATTTCTGTATTATCCTTTAGGGTCCTTCTATGTTTCCTGAGCATGCACAGTTCTCTACTGAATATTATTTTAATAATTATAAAAAATATATATTACTGAAGAAAACTCTAAGTTCCTAAAAATACAAAAGGATACATTAAATCATAGTACTCTTTTTTTTCTTATAGATAAAAGGAAATGAATTAATACTTACTTAATTGCTTGTGCTCCTGGTCTTTGTACAACCCAAGTGCTAAATTCTTCTACTACAATATTTAACAGCTCATGTTTTCGTTGTTCTTCTCTTAGAACAATAGACATACTTTTCAAGTGCATGTAAAACTTCATGGCTTCAAACTAGAATACATTCAGAGGAACAACATTAATTATTTATATATACACATTTACATATATGCATATTTACATATTTACATATATACACTTACATATATACATATACACATGTACATAATTATATATATTTATATATTATACTTATGTATTTTATATATATGTATATATACACACACCGACCACTCTTATTCATGTAATTTATTCTTCCCAAAAACCAGAAAATAGCTTAAAAGCAACCCTTTAAGTCTTAAAGAATCACCTCATTACACTACAAAGTATGGAACAATATTGATCCCTACCTTGGTAATTAAAGTAAAAACAATATTTACAGACCCAGAAAAAAAATCACAGACCAAGTCAGTCACATATAATTCCTAAAGGATTCAAAATATCATTCAACTGTGATATATAAGACATGAAAACCTCTTACTGATTTTGGCAAGGTTGGGTCAACTGCTGTTTCACTATAGCCAATTGCTTCATAGAGTAAAGATTTTTCTTCAGGTGTCAAGATTTCTTCAAGACCTACAAATTATAAACAAAGTGTTTTATGTTTTTAACTGGTAATAAGAGAAAACTAACCCGTAATTTAGTTGTCTTTAATAAATTAAATGTAAATTTTACTTTCGTTTTATACTTTTAAGAAATTATAATCACAATGTTAGAATGGTATTGGCAATTTTAGAAGGATTACTCTCCAAAAATATAAATTTCTAAGTATATAAATTTAATAATATAAATTTCTAAATATTAGTATTAACCAAGAGCTTACAAAATGGCTGTCTTAGCACTTAATGGCACTGTGCTAGGCAACACACTTAGCACACAAAGTAAATGGTATTAATATAATAATTTCCCCCAATTTAAAAAATGATAAAATTGAAATTCAAAGAACTTAAATAGCTTACCAGGGCCACAGTGCTAATAAGTGGTAGATCCAAGTATGTAAACCTAAGACCCTAATACTACAAAGTTTTAATCTTAAGTATTTGGTTAGGAAACAAAAATCTTTCCAAGAATCAACTTCAATAAAAATTTACAATGGTTTATACACTTTTGGAATTTTTATTTATCCATTATTGTGCTATGTGCATTTACTAAATCCCCTGGGCATAAAGCTCTTTTGTAAACACCAGTAAAATAAAATTATTTTATTTAATTTTTACTTGGCATATATTTACAATGTTTTAACAGTAATTTTATTGATAACAAGGATAATGTATCATATGCATATATACTTACATTGTCTATTTAATTAGAGAGAGAATTTTCTGCAAAATAATTTTCATACCTGATGATTAGCTACATTACCATCCCTGATGATAAACTGTACTACTATGAAATAAAATGAACATACTTCCAGTTCTAACATCTGGCTGCAGTTCATTAGTTTTTGGTTCTGACCAAGTCCATAACCAGCTAAACCATCCTTTATTTTCCTCTGAATCTTTTGTTCCTTCTCTGTATATCCTGTATCCAGCTTTCTTTACCTAAAATATATAAATTTTCAATTAAATGACAAATTATCCTTTATTTAACAATCTAAATAAAAGCCTGACATTTCCAAAACTTGTTTACTTGAGTACATAAATGCAAATATTATACGAACTGACAATAGAAAGAAGTAACTGCAATATTAGCCAAACATAAGAATTTAGGATTACCAGGTAGTTAACCCCACTGTCTTACAAGGACAAGTAATTTTTAAAAAAATCACACTGGCTTTTCATTTTCACATGAACTCTGAGTATAAAACCAATAATTTAGAAAGAATATTTTTCCAGAAGAACCTTATTTAAATGGATGTGGAAAATATTAAATCAAACTTTCTTATAACACACACAAAAAGGCAAATTTGAACTCCTTTCAGGAAACAATATATTACAGTACAATACTAATAATATCACAGCACCTGTCAAATCTATATGGAATCTAGATTTGTTTTTACTAACTGAAAGATAATCTGGAATTACCTCAACTTCCGCCTGTTGTCTTGCTATAGTTATATTAAATACATCCAGGGTCCTTTCCAACTCCTAAAAATATAAAGGAAAATGTGTTTACATAAATAACTATATAAGTAACTTTAGTATATATAATCTGTCATAATGCTGCACTAAAGATATGATAGGAAGCAGAAAACATCCATCAACATAATATTCCTGTTAAATTCTGAGAAGCAATGGTTATATATATGTCAGCTCAGAAATTAGTAATGATGAAAACTTTCTGAACAAAGAAATCTTACATGTCATGCATAATAAGAGTTATAACTCTAGAAGATTTACAGATACATATTATAAGATACTATACATGCAGTTTTTAAAATAACTTACTTGGGTTTTAACTATAGCGAAGGGTAAATATAGTGTCATTTTCAACTAAAAATACAATTATAAAACCTACATATTATGTGCACAGTTCGTAAGTCATCATTAAGATACTCCAAGTAGATCTAGATACACTTAAAACTTGTTTTTAAATTTTATACTTTTCAAAGTTGTTACGGCTATTGAAATAAATTGAGACAAGCTAAATCTTTCATCACATCTCTATACATTATGTCCATGATTACTTTTGGGAGTTGCATGTGCAAACCATTTTTTCTCCCAAAGACAAGCAACCATGACCTACTATTATCTAGAAAACAACTTAAGGTTCTAATGTCCAGCAGACCTGGAGGATTTAGGTTAAGATCCAAGCTAAGTATAGAAATCTCCAACCAGCCCAAAAGGTCTCAAAAATTTAAGCATTTATATTAGCCTAGGTCTTCAGAAAGTCTCCTACCTCGATCAAAAGTAAAAATAAAACTCAGTCTTTAGGAGTTCTAATTGGAAACTGGCCTAGATTCAGAACAGTTACATTCATTTCAAGAGATTAACTCCTTTAGTGTACCTAAGCTATGTTTAGTCCATCTGTAAAATACTCCCTTCTTGAATATACCATCATAATGCTGAAAGATAAGAGATTAATATTTAGAGAACTCTCTGGATAAATAATTAAATGTAAAGTTGCCATTAAAGGCTATAAAAGTCACAGGAATTAAAAGAAAAAGAGCTCTACCTGGGCAGAAAATTCAAGGAAGTTTGTACAAGAGATGGGACTTATACAGAACATGAGGGATGAGTAAAACCGGGCTAGGCAGGGAGATAAGGAACGGCAGGTGGAATACGTGAGTGCAGATCTGGCTATAAGCATAAGCTGTATAGAAGACCGGAAATTTTATTTGATTAATGCACTGCTAGATGGTAACACGGGAAATGCAGCGGTGACATAACGTAAGGCTTCAAAACCAACACAGAATTGGAATCAATGTCGAAAAACATTTTATGCTCTTGAGGTTAAAAACATCTTAATAATTTAAGGCTTCAAGTTACTATTTGCATAAACACAAATCTGTCCAGGCTGAGAATAATCTCAAATTCCAAGAGCTCCCAGGAGAATAACACCAATGCTTATATCACCCAACTGAGTTTAGTCAGAAGTAAGGAAAAAATCTAAGTGAAAGAGAGACAGAATGCTCAATCGATATTAGAACAAATAATTAGAAGTGGTTGTCACTAAAGACTGAGGAGTTATATCGCACAAAATATAAATAATTTTTAATATGCTAACCTCCAAAAAGCTGAGAAGTTCACCAGGTGGCTTCTTGCTTGTTAGTTTTTTTTTATATAGTTCTTTGTATTGCTTCATTTGTTGCCTATGAGTGCAAATATGCTTCCATGACCACATCCGTAAGCGGGGACAAACATTTACTTCGAGAATACCATGTATAGCATAAGCCCACCTAGTTAAAAAAACAAAACAAAAACCCTACACTTAATGCTCTCAAACCAACAGTATGCCATATAATTGATATTGCTTCTACTTTAACATATATATAAAGATGGTATATTATCTAAACACCTGCTTTTTCCCATCATATTTGTTTTTACAATAATTAATATTATCTCTTTCCTAAGTAAAAATAAGCAAAATCCTTGAATTTTGTTATAATAAATATAGGTCTACAGAAAAACTATTAAAGTATTAATTGGCAAACAGCACTTTAGTCCCAGGAATAGTAATTAAAATAGTCAACTGAAAGAGTAATTATAACTTCTAGAAACTCTGCAAGAGCTTAATAACTGGAATAACAAGACTTTTGAATTTCAAAAAGGGATAGTACTTTATATATGACCATAACCTTTTCAGGTTTAATAATATGGTTAATGTGTATAATACAGAAATTTGAAAATTTTAAAAATGACACTGCTAGAAAACTGAAATATAGTTTAATAATTTCAAAAATACAATAAATAAATGTTATTCTAGTATCTCCAGTTGTAAATTCCATTATAAAGAATCCCTTAAGTAATTTCTATTTGTAAACCAAACTATAGTTTGTATCAGCCTTTAAAGAGAGTGTCTTAAAAAAATTATTCTTAAAAAAGTCAAGAAATTCACTTTTATGCCATATTTTTTAAATCTTAAAAAAAGTTTTAGCTCAAGCAATCCCACTTATGGGTATTTACCTAAAGAAAATGAAAAGACTAAATAAAAAAGATATATGCACCTCCATGTTCAGTGCCACATTATCTACAATAGCCAAGACATGGAGACAACCTAAGTGTCCAGCAATAGAAGAATGAATAAAGAAAACATGGTAATATATACACAATGGAATATTATTTAGCTATAAAAAAATAAAATCTTGCCACGTATGACAACATGAATGGACCTTGAAGGCATTATGCTAAGTGAAGTAAGTCAGAGAAAGACAAATACTATATGATCTCACTTATACATAGAATCTTTAAAAACAAAAAAACAAAATTGAGCTCATAGATACAGAAAATAGATTGGTGGTTGCCAGAGGCAGGAGTTTGGGGTGGGCAAAATGGGTGAAGGGAATCCAAGTTACAAACTTTTAGTTATAAAATAAATAAGTCATAGGGATGTAATATACAGCATGATGAATAAACTTAATAATATTGCATTGCATATTTAAAAGTTGCTAAAAGAGTAAATCTTACAAGTTCTTATCACAAGAAAAAGAATCATTACGTTGTACACCTGAAACTAATACAATGTTGTAAGTCAATTATACATCAATGAAAAAAATTTAAGACATTTTACCATTCTCTGGCATGGCTGCAAACAGGTACATCAGGTCTGAATTTTCTATATGGCAGATTTTGCCTCATCATATCAACTGACTCAAGAAGCTCCATAAGACTGAAATACTGAAGAATGAAAAAATTAAATCTTATATGTTTCAGACTGTTTCCGATTATTGAAGATAAAAGTTAAATTATTAACTTTTTAAAGGAAATTTTACCATGTAACATTAAAAATTTTTGAAAAACATGAACAAAATAAGTTGATGAACAAAATGGAACCAGAAGCATGAATACATGTAATATACTGGCCAGTGCGCAAGGGGAGGGGGGGTGGTAGTGACTAGACAAAGAAGGTGAAGGAAATAGCTAAAGAACATATATGCATACCTCATGGACACAGACAATAATTTGGTAAAGGCCAAGG